AGTCTCTCTTGTGACATCTAAAGAGTAGACAGACACAACGGAAGATTTCTGGAATCTGTTCTGCTGTCTTACATCACTGAAGCCAACAGCAACAGGACTGGTCTCAAAATTGCCATAAACCTCCATGCATAAAGCTTTGATTTTTTAAAGGAGTCCATGAAAACTGACTCATTCTTCCATCCTTTTGAAATTCCCAGTCCACACCCCTATTTGTGAGGAGGATTATTTTTATTTTATACAGTGGTAGTATTTAGAGGTCCCAGCAGAGATCAGGCCCTGTTGTATTAGACACTGAGCATGCACAGCAGAAGGCCTGTGCTCTGGGAAACTGACAAAGGAAGGTGGGAAGGGAAGCAGAGATACAAGGAACTGGTTTGCTCAAGATCACACAACACATCATTAACAGGCCAAGAACTTCTGGCTCTCTGTGAGGTTAAGGAACTAAAGATCCCCAACATGAGGTGAACTTTTAGCACTGAAAAATGATGCTTTCTAACATTTATATAGCAAAATGTGCTTTCACCTGACTGGAAAAACACAATATAATGAATATTGTCAAACAAGATACTGGTTTAGAATACTCACAGCTCTGATCCACCATGGAAATGCTGATACTCCTCCATCTAGCCTTCAAAATAAAGGCAGATTTCAGTATCATGTACTAACCAAAGAACTTCCTACACGTGTTAGCATATAGTGCCTGCCTTCAGTTCATTTTCACTCCATCATATCCAGTCCTCTTCAAGCATTGTAACTATTAATACCAATTTGCTGTTTTCCTGGAAGAGAAACTTGCCCCAGCTCTCATAATACAGATGTATACCTACTAAAATTGCAGTGCTGCCATTGATTTCAATGGGAGGAGAACCAAGACAGTGCAAAGAAGGGAGAAGGGCATTTCAGCATCACAGGTACCGTATGACTTGACTGCCTCAAATGGCCATCCCCATTTGCTCAGTACAGCGTCAAGCCCCAGAGAAAGCATAAAATTTGTTTCAGGGCAAAAGTGTATGTTGAGTAGCCCCTAAAAAAATGCTGTTCTTTAAAATCTGAGCAGGAAAAAGCCCTACAAGTGGCAGCAGTCCATAGAAGCATAATCATAGAATAGTGTGGGTTGGAAGGGACCTTCAAAGTTCACCTAGTCCAATCCCCTGCAACAAGCAGGGACATCTTCAATAGATCAAGTTGCCCAGAACCACACCCAGCCTGGCCCTGGATGTCTCCAGGGATGGTTGTACTTAATCTGCCAAGTCAATTCTTACAGTTTTTCCTAGCATATTTTGAAGTTCCAGACAAAGGAGCAATGAAGGATCTGCACTAGATTGGCTAAAATCTGTAGCATACGTTAACTCTTTGTTAAAGACCATTAAGGCCCAGCTGGGATTTAAAAGACATGGAAAAGCCCAGGCTTACATCAAAGCTTTTATCTTTGCCAAACAGTGGTCAGCCATCTAGACATTTATGAAGAGTTTACAATTTTATTTCTTAAGTATGCTTTCTAGAAAAGCTAGTATGTGGCCAAAGTTTAAGATAAACATGCCTTAAGGCAGTGCTCATTCTAGCCCAGAACTAGGCCAGAAATAGAACTACATAGTTTTGGTGTCACTGATTGGTCAAAAGTATCTTTTAGTCTAAATTTAATCAAAGATGAACATTAAAATAGAACCATCCTAAAAGGTTCCCTTTCTAATACCACATTAAAGCACTTCATCCAACTGCAAGAACCACTGTATGATTTAGTTCTTTTCCAAAAATTGTAAAATTTCCAGTAAAAATGTGTTCAGGACATTCTTCAAAGTATTAGTCTTTCTCAGAACCATGTATCTGCTCTAACTGCACTGTGTTATCAGTCAAGGAGTCAAGTGCACTGAAAGCAGGAGAGGTGTGGTGCTGGTTGTGTCACAGAAAAATTACCAGGACTAAGTGCAACCCAGGATGAGATGGGTAAGGTACAGAAAGCTTAGAAATTACACAACAGGAAAACCCTTGATCAGCAGGGCAGAGCGCATAAATGCGCACATGAAGGGATCCTAAGGAACTGACCGACTGCTGGCACTAACCCAGCACCTGGAGGGCAAACCACAACCTCATCTGCTTGCTTACCTTCTTTAGGCATGGGAGTTAGGCTCACCTTCTCATGGCTCCACCTTCTGTCAATATTGCTTGACCAATAAGTGCTATTTAAACATCATTTCTAATCAGCATCAACTCAGCAGCTAAGGGACTTGCTGTTGTCACACTTCTCAGTATGCTACCATTAACAATGATTGCTGAATCACTGTAAGCAGAGGGAGAAAAAAACCTCACAAGAAGGTGAGGTCATATAAGACACACTCAGTGTATAGCATCAAAGAGATAGCAGCTGGCTCAAGTGGGCAGCCAGCAAAGAACATCCCAGGGTCAACAGCTGAGGTGATATTCTAACATTCTCCCAGCAGCCCTTGAAGCCAGTTCCCATCTCTCCCTCATTCAAAATTACAGCCAGTAAGTCAGCACAGCTAAACCATCATAAGACTGGCAACTGAAAAGCAAGTAAAGTTCCCTGGATTAAGACACAGGAGCTGATTAAAATAAACATTAGAATAGCAGCTTGCCAGCAGGAAGACTTAAAAGCTGACTTTCTAAAGAAAATTGTACCATCTGATACAACTCAAGAATTTTTTTTTTTCATTTCTATCATTTAAAAACTGCTTTAGTGCTGACTAATAGCTATGTTCTACTTGCCTGAATTGCATCCTACCTGCACAGTGAGTATGCTGACACCAAAATTTCACTTATATCCAGTGAGCTTAATCTGGCATCAGAAATAAAACTTTATTGGAATTTGAATGTGAAAGAAAGATTCTCTCAGGTATCCTTTTAACATTTGTTTGGCAACTATCACTGGCATTTTTTTTTTAAGGATTTTAAGTCTAGAACCAAAGCTGTTTATTATATTGACATGACAGTCTCCAAGCATAGTTTATTCAGCATAAACCCTTGGGCTGTGCAGACTGAAAAGGCTCAGATTCTCTTGTCAGAAAGGAGGAAGAAGACACTGACAAATGCTGTCAAACAACAGGCTCGTACCACAGTAGAGATCATTTCTTTGATCAAGAGAATCACATCCTGATTCTCTGTAAATACCAGCACTCTGCACTATCACAAATTGTGATAACAGTTTAACATCAAATCACTACCGAACATATTTACTCATAATAGCTGCTGCACATAAGGAAGCTGGCAACAGTTTTGAGTTTTCGTTCATGCGCAAACCCTCCCTAAAAAATCTTAAATATTTAATGGGTCAAAGCAAAACAGCAACAAAAGGAGAGCCTGGGAAAAGGCCACACAAAACATAGGGGGCAATAAAGCTTTAAAACAACTGCATAGAAGATGGGAAAACTGCCTCAAATATAGAGTTCAACCTGGATATTACATAAAATCCAGGAAAGATGTTAGTATAAAAGGAAGGATATCAGCACCTCTGGCACTTCAGTTTCCCATTTCACTTCTTCCCCTGAGCTCAAGGGGATACTGGGACATACTATCCTGCCTGTGATCTACTCAGGCATTCTGACAATTGGCACCTTCTGAAAGGTCAGTTTCTAAAGGTGATGAGATCTTCCCAAACCAACATAACCTCCCCTACTCAGTAAGCTGTTGTGAAAACATATGTTCGAGAAACAGGGTATTCTCTGTTGATAAAATATAAGATACACAAGGGAGAAGGAAAGGAACTGGATTAGACTGAAAAGCGCCTTCAACATTTGGCCACTGGCAACAGCTCCTACCCTGACACCACAGATCACTGCTATGGATGATACACTGAAGTGTCCACTTGAAAGAGAATGCAAAATTCCAAGAGTCATGATTGATGGTGTAATGCAAGTTGTGTTTAGAAAGCCCCTACCCGTGTTTAAACATTGGTTACTTGGAAACCATGTACCAGTGGCTATTTTTCAATTTACATGTACAATCTCACAGAAACATTTACTCCACATGAAAGACAGCATACAGTATTTCACCGTGGTTTCTGGTTCCACTCTAACGATGTCAGTCATTCCTTTACATTTACTTGTGAGCTTGCCAGTTCCAAGAGCACTGCAGACATTCGTCACAGGATGCTTCTTTGATGCCACTTCAGGTTACTTTTACAGCTATCATTCTGCTGGCATTTTTCTAAGCTTTCTAGCTGTAGAAAGACTGAACTTAACACATTTTTCTAGTTAGCTTTCCTGGTAAATGTGACTAAAGCATGTAAAAGTTTACTAAGTCACAGTGACACATCCAGGAAGAACGCAGCTGGTGAGGCTGCAATGCTGGGTTACAAAACAACTTGATCTAGTGCAAATCCTTACTCATCCCAACAAGTTTTGCAGTGGCCACATACCACCTCCAAAAGCCTTCTGGTTTACTACTGAATTTATTTCTGGTTTTGGACTCAGACACACCACATTAAGATGCCTAAAAAGAGAAGCTAAAAACAATGCAAGATTAAAGTCAATGCCAAAACAACAAGTCTCTAGTTACACTAATTTTGATTATGATAATAACTACAAAAAAATCCCAGTTTTCACAATGGACAGAAAGTTCACAAGCAATTTGAGTTATGTCAGACAAGTCATGGATGTGAATCACAGAACAAGTGTCTCTGCCTTCTCTTGGCTTTCAAGTAATCCAGCCTAGGAGTTACTGGTAACAGCATTCTCCTGCTGAGAAAGGGTCAGTGTCATGTATAAACACAGAAGTCTTCCAAGCAATAATTGATGTAAAAAAAAAAAATCTGCAATTGCATTTGCTTTTCTTTAAAACCAGGAATTCTGATTTTTCCAAAATAACAAATTTAAATTTAGTCTGCCTCATAATTACTTCTGTTGTAACTACTTTTCTCATCACTGTTCTATGAACAGTGGTCCCAGTAACTCTCATAACTAAGTTTGTAAACATATTATACATTGAAAGAAAGCCTTTAGGAAAAATTCCTAACAGCAAAATTGCTCCAAGCAGTTACCTCTTACCCTGCTAAATGAGCTGGTAGCAATAGTGCTGGAGAAATCTCGTGATGTTTAGTCGTGTGTATACTTAGTGAGGTGTTTTCATATTTCTTTGGTTTGCCAACACTGAGTATGATATTTTGGAACTCTTCCAGACCTGAGATGAAATAATACATAAGAATATTGCATCATCAAAATACATGTTGCATTTTTGGGCAGTAGTTTAATTGGGACTTCCAAAGATCACCCAGAACGCTCAAGTAATGGCAAATATAGCTCTTGTCCAAAGAAAAGGTAACCAAATGCAGTCCAGCCTCACAAAGAACCTAAAATGCAAGGTGTCAACTTACATCAGAAAGGATGGAATTATCCAGGTGAAATGAAGTTTTAAAATACAGTTCAATGGCTCAGGCTACTCCTTTATTATTGTCTGAAAACACCTTTTATGGACAGATGTCTTAAAAAGATGGGCAAGCTTTTTCTTGTTCTTACAAAGGACACATGGGACACAGTCTATACCCTTGAGCTAAATATAAGGCTCGGTTACAACAGAGACTGGATAGCAGTCCTGGATAATAATCCTTCCTGGATTATGCCCCTCTGTTTTCACAGTTCTGGAGCCCAGTGCTTCCATACAAGTTAACCAGAAACACAGCCCTCACTGTCAGCAATGGTGCTAACTTCAATATCATTCAGCCATCAGTAGAGTCATTCTCTAAACTCTTACTGTTTCAGTGGGCATTTCCTACCAGACCGGACTGTGGAACATCAGCATATATGGCACTGCATCCTCCTTTGTGATGCACAACACTTTCTATTGTATATTCACAGCAGACCACACAAAGGTCATCAAAAGCTGAGGAATACTGCTGATAAGCTGACATGCCTGTTCTGACTAAACTTAACCCACTGAAATAACCAAGGTAGCAGGGGAGTATCTACCTTCAAGGTGATAAGGTAAATGTACTGGAGCAGATTCACATGCCAGTCTGAAAGCCTCTGAGTGGATGGTTTAAAAGCCCAGGCAGCAGTGTGCTCACAATTCAGATTTTGCTTAACTACCTCAGTACAAGAAAAGTTAGCAGAATACAAAAAAATTAATTTTGAGGAAGTTCTGCATAAGCTTTCTGCAATTAACAAATAACGTGCCTCTACAGCCTCTGCCTTCCAACTGAACCAAGGTTATTATCAATTTGCTCTTGATACAAGAAACTAATTTTCATGTACTTACATCTGCTCTCGGAAGAGAAAATGGTTTGTGAAGTTCCCATTAGCATACAAAAGCAGCAACATCTGCTGGGAGTTTAAGAGGCTCATTGCTGTCACTTAATCAGCACCACAGGCTACAGTTGGCCACCTCTGCCCTTGTCAGCACTCAAAGTATGGTTTCAAGAGATGAGGGGATAATTTGACCACACAAGACAAGGTCCCTGCAAGATTTCTGTATCTATAAAAGAAGTTCTATTCTTACTTAGCTGAGGATAGCTAATCCACCTATGCGGATTCCTCCTTGCATAAACCTGTAAGTAGTATTGTAGCTGAAGTCATTAATCCTTCAGTACAATATGTAACTTAAGTGGCATTTTAAAAAGCAAGACGAAACCTATCAGTTCATTTCCCTGTGCTGTAGCTGTAGCACCATCTAGAGGATTCGAGCTAGAAATTCCTCACACGATGGGGAAAAAAAAAAAAAAATTTGCTCTCAAATGTTAAAAAAATCTTTACACAAAAAAATATTTTGAGAAAATTTTCATTCTAATATTTATCTACAGAATAAAATTGCTTCATACATGCCTACATGACTTGCAGGTTTTTTTAAATACTTTCCCAACTTAATATATTTGGATTCAAGAAGCTAAAAAGATAAGAACAAATAAAACTTTATCAACTGACAGATAGGGAAAGATCTTGAGCTCATCCACTCTAGGTGACATGGTTGCTATGATCCATTTTTAGGTGGAGGAAGGCAGGATCTTCCCTGCAGTTTTGTTCATAACATTGAGAGGACAACTAACTTTACTCTGTTTTTCTCTATTTTCACTTTTTAAAAGGATTTTTTAATAAAATCAAAACCAAATTTTAATCAGGGGATAGGGAAGAGGTTTTCAATTTAACAACAGTGATTATGGTTTTTATTATATTTCACAGAAATAAGGAGATACAATAGATTGCTTACTGCAGAGCTATTAAAAGATATGGAGAAGGACCCATACAGCCCTGGAGCACTGTGGATTATTTTTTCCATCCACAGACACCCCAAACCTCACTCTGAGTACTTTCAGCTTAGCACACTCTCCCCCATAACTTTCCTCTGCTGCTGCCACAAAATAACACTTTTGCTCCGGAAGCCTTCTGAGGATAGCAAAATTCAGCCTCCTTGTTGCTTCTACAAAAGTGAGCCAGCTTCTTAGAGACTGAAAGACAGAATTAATTCAGAACATTCACAGTGTAATTGCTCCACAGAGGTTTAAGGAAGGAAATCCAGACTCTACCTCCCATTCACTGGTTGATATGTGACTGCCCAGAAGCAGTCATATATAGTGACACATCCTCACTAAATATTCAAACTTTTTTACACCAGAACACAATTCATATTTCTCTTTCTGTCAGTATCATGTCAAAATGATCATGTAATACCACACAGTCATCTATTTTTAGATACTCATATGGACTGTGTGCTAAGAATGGGCTTCAAGCTACTATGCCACATTATCTGCTTATACAAAATTTCCTTCAAGAATGTTTGGCAGAGAGGATTAAACTGAAACAACCAATGGTACCATCATCACCAGCAACACTATTTGTCATGGATGAGTTCATTGCACTGTACAGGCCAACAAAACTAAAACTTCTCGAGATCTCCCACCACACAGGCAAGGGAGTTATTGTAATAGCTGGCAGACCTTTAGAGTTACTTGCAATCAAGATCACTGGTTATAAAAAACAAATTTCTTCCTGTATAGAATGATTTATGCTATTTCATAATGGCTGGCAGCAAATCAAGACTGTTTACAGCACTTCAGTATAGCTCAAGTCCCTCAGAGTGCTTTACTCCCTCCCTACCTCTTCCTGGTCTCTCAGTTAAAGCAGCAAGGAAATAATAAAATTCTCATGTACTTACCAGCAAAATCCTCTTCCTTCCTAGCTTCCATGTGGAGAATTACATCTTGTGTCAAATATGGGGAGCGAGGGAGAAAGAACAGTTGAATATTTTCCATCTTTCAGCTGATTTTCCTGTCTTAACTATAAATGCAGAAATTAGTTCAAACACCAGACTACAAGTGCAAGCACCTGAAGTTTAAGCATCTCTGGTTACTTTTACTAGCAAATACTTAAACTTATTCACATAGATAAGCATTTGATAGATTCCAGTCCTAGACTATGAAGGGTTTCTGGTTCTCAAGCAGTATCACTGCGTTCCTAATACTGCATTCACTGCTGCATATCAAAATAATAAATCTGTTGCTTGGAATCTGAATTCTCAGTTAAATTTCAAGTAGCAAAGAAAGTATTTTCATTTATTGTTATGTGCCTAAGTCTGAGACAAAGCCTGAGTATCTGTAAAAGTCTGCATGTTTCAGTCTTTCATGCTGAGCATATATAATGCTTCCAAGAATAATCCAGCATCATGCTATCTGTCATTTTGTCTCCAGTTCAGTGTTTTTGTAAAGCTGAGCTGGTATTTTTATTGGTTTTAAAAAGACATGTAAGCATCTTGCAACCATTTGGGAAAACAGTGGTCTTGAAAGAAGCCTTTGAAATTAAAAAAGAGCAATAGGGCAGCAGAGTAGAGAAGTACCTCCTTTTCATTTTTCTAAATCTCTGCAATTGCCAGTCCAGTTACTGGAGGTAAGATCACCACTATGCTTTACAGTATGTTATCCTACAGTGTGTTGACTTCAATTGGACTGTAATAGCAAGGATCACTCCTGTGACCAACACCAACAGTAGGACCCTGTTTATATTGTGTAATCTGTAAGTTTCCATTTAAGAGCACCTACTGACTGTATTATAACAAAACTGTTCAGCAGATGTTCCAGTCAGATTCAATAATCACACACCAGTGCTTCCAATTTTTCAAATAAAATGAAAACAAATCTGTAAAGATACCTCATTTCCAAAAAAAAATCAGAACACCACACACCTCAATGTGGCAAACCTGCATAAGTGCTATCGAGGCAAATTGCAGCTCTGGCTAAACTGTTTGCAAGTGAAAACACACAGCTGAAACAGTGACTTACATGGCAGGGGGGGTGGAGTAGATGACCTTTGAAGGTCCCTTCCAACTCAAACTATCCTATGAGTATCAGCTACAGGCACAGTGTGCTTGATTGCCTTCTACAGCATGTCATAGGGTGCTGGGTTAACTCCAAATAACAGCTTTCAGAATATAAATACTGGTAATTCTGGTAATTTCCCCTTTCCTTCATCAACCAGATTTGCAATTCTGTTACATACTTACCTGAATACACAGCAACATCAACACTTCTGATCTATGCTGCCCCTGCCAGCCTGAAACTTAATAAATGCCTAGAATAATATGGTTGCAATAGATAGGGCAACCCCATTCACTGATGTTACTTGCACTGCAACATCGGGCCATAAACTGCATTAAATTACATGCTGATACTGTTGCAACTTTGAAACACAACTGGATCTTTAAATGGTTACAGATTAATAACCAGATTGTTAATTTGTTCTTAAGACCACTCTGTTTAAAAATAATAGGGAGAGGCAGCTTCCCAAAACACCAAACTGTAAAGTTGACAGCTCTTTGAGGTAAGCAGCTAGAAGTGGCAAGGTGCCCAAAAAGCTTCATATACAACATATAAAATTGAGCAAAACTAGCCCCTCTTAAATACACACGTAAGAGCCTTCTGAACACATCAGCACTATTTAATGTGTGCATACAGAATGATGGCTCTTCAAGCACCTTGCACGTGAAATCCATGCCTCTGCTACTTCAGTAAAGGGGAACAGAAATACGTGTGTAACTTATTTACACTCCAGTATTATAAAAGCGGCCTATTGCAATTTTAAGTCCTGTAAACTATAGCAGCGGCGCTTCTTGCAGAGGTGTTTTACATACCAATACACAGTGACCACAGTACACCTAGACCTGAAAACATCTATTGATGAACAAGCAGCTCCACACACCCACATGGTACGTAACCTCTGAGGGAAAACACAACACGGGCAAGGCCAACACTTACAGGAAAAAGAAAAAAAACGTTATTTCTAATAACAATAACCTAGTATCTCTGGCGTTTAGCTACTATCAGCCTCATCTTTAAAGTAAGCTAAGTAAAAACCCTTCTACACCAAGAATTAAGGCAACCTGCGTTACCTCCGCCTCACTACGCAGCCGGAGCCCTCCGGCACCTCAGCTCGAACCCGCGCTAACCACCGCAGGGGGCCGCACGGCGCGCCCCGCGCCTCCGCAAAGGCCCCGCCCACGGCAGCACCCGCTCCGTCGCGTCACTTCCGCCGCTCCATAGCAACGCCGGCGTGGAGGTGGCGGAGCCATGGTAATGGCGCTGCGCTCGCACACCGCCCCGGCCAGCGGCTGGGGAACGGGGGGGGACGGCGGCGGGCTCAGCCCCGGGGTTGCTCTGCGGCACGGCGGTCCCGCGGCCTCCTCACAGGGGTCGCGCACGCCGCCGGACGGAGGTGCGGTGTTGTGCGGTGTTGTTGTGCGGTGTTGTTGTGCGGTGTTGTTGTGCGGTGGTGTTGTGCGGTGGTGTTGTGCGGTGGTGTTGTGCGGTGGTGTTGTGCGGTGGTGTTGTGCGGTGTTGTCCTCTCTCCCCACAGGCTGAAGTGGAGGAAACCCTAAAGAGGATTCAGTCCCACAAAGGTGTTATCGCTACTATTGTGATAAACGCCGAAGGTAAAACGCCATCTGCTTTCTCCAAGTAACAAGCTTGGTAGTGGTAACGCACATTGTAACTCCGAAGCACAAAACTGCAGATTTTGAGGTGTTAATGCAGCCCACTTGCGATGTTTCCTGAAGGTGGTGTGACTTTGAAGAATGTATGTTTCATTTCAAGACACGAACGTTTGGTTAGAGGCCATTTCTTCAACCTCTCCCCATATGATGTAGTTTTTCATTTGAATTAATGGAAAGCAGAGCCTTGACTTAAGCTTTCTCTGAAGAAATGGCTAGAAATATCATAATCTAAATTTAAGAGGTCCCATGTTGTTACTTACCCCCCTTGTTTAACTAAACTATACTTTCTTTTTCAGAACCACATCTTGAGTGTCTCTTGGTAGGTTGTAGAAAGGGAGAACACGTGGAGTTGAGATGTTGCTTTTACCGGTGTTTAGTCCAAAATTCTTTGTATAAACAAGAAAATTCACTGCCCCCCTCTTCTGAAAAGTTACGACAGGACAAAAACATCAGGAGAAAAGTTTCTACTGAACAAAGTTGTTTCCTACTCTGGGGGCCATTCCTCGGCACTGCTAAATATTCACAATTTCTTTAAATTGCTCTTTAAGTTGTGTTATGGTGTGTTGTCATAGGTGGAAGAGCAAGCTTCATGTCAGGCCAGCTTTGGCTGTGATTGTGAAGGCTGCAAGCCAAAAGCTTGCAAAGAAACCAGTTTTCAAGAGCTAAGCTTCCCAGGTTAATGTGTTTCAACCATTCCCTTACAAAGTAGACTCAAGTGACCTTGCCTATAATTTATCTGACCTCTTCACTTTTACAGTCTCCCGTGTCCCCAAAACTATGGCGCTAGCAGCAGATTAGCCACAGCAGGCAAGAAAACTAAGAAAGCCTAAATGTTGTTTAGAAAATGTAGACAATTTAATTTGTGTGCCTGGAAACGTTGAGTAAAAAGTGCCTTTGTTCACATAATAGATGATGCAGGTCAAGAGAGAAGTGCATAGCCTGGCAAATAGGAACTGAAAATCTGCTTTTTGCCTGCACATGCTCATGTCTAGATGTGACTGTTAGCTACAGTGAAATGCAGCCTGGCTGCAGAACAAGTACTGCTTCAGCCATTTCTGTATTGTTTCAGTGAACAGAATGTGACTTGATCCAATGAGTACTTGGACTAAGCTGCAAATGAAAAGTGAACAAAATCAAGCATTTAGATAACACAAATGATCCTTTCTGAGCTTGTGGACTGATATACTTCTTAAGGCAAAACCACCAGTGAAATCAAATAGAAAACTAACCCAGTTTTCTTACGTTCTGCTACTTGGAACAGTAGACTTCTTGGCATAATGTTGGTCTCATATGCTTTCCCAATCAGATGTACTACTGCTGTGCATCATTACCTCAGGTAGAGCTCTGCAGAGTTAGTATGATACCATGCTTTTTAAAAGACTATTTTGGATTACATTTGTCTCAGTTTTGATTTACTAAAGAATGAGATAATTCCACCTCCCTTTTTTGTACATGAGACTGTTCATAGCAAGGTATAAAGTTCCCTGGGTCCTGTTCAGACTTCCTCATCCTCACAAACTTGTAGAACACGTGGCCAGGCTGAAGCTGATGGACAAAACTAGTGCAGGATTTTTGGGTTTAGTTTATCATTTAGATATGTTTCATTGCCAGTTGTGAATACAACAGAGACTATTCTCCATAGAAATGTATTTAATCTAAAAAGATAAAACTCTCTTTTCACTGACATAAATGGTTGTCCCTCACTAAGATTTTATAGTAGTGTAGGTACATGTAGGTATAATAGTGTGCAGGTGAAATAGCAAATTAAAGCTTCCTGATACAAACATTGCCTATCACTTACTTTAATGCTTAAAGTTGATTTGTTCATTGAAACACTATGCTAAGTGTACCTTGTTTATTTGGAAAATCTCACTAACTGTTGCTGTCTTTCACAGCTGAGAAAGATCACACTGCAGCATTTCTAATGAAGGATTTATTTGCCTTTCTGTAATTGGGAGGCAGAGGCAAAGAGAATTTGTCCTAAAGCAGTCATAGCTGAGTTTTAATCTAAGGATGTCACCAGTGTCCATGCATTTTCATGTTATTATTAGACCTTGGAGGATCATTTAACATTTACCATTTTTGTTTAAAGTGCTGTATTTGTTGAAGTGATCATCTAGGTATAAGGTCATATAAACCTGACACTAATTCATTGCTGCTTTTAAGTGACTTACTCTTTAATGATGTGATTATATACATATTCTCATGCTAATGCAGTGCTTGGGAACACCTGGGTGTTTCCATTAAAACATCAGTTATAATCTGTGTAATAAACATTCAACAAAAAGGGTCCACTGTGTCATTCTGTACTCTTCCCTACACTTCACATCCTATGAACTAAAAAGTATTTTTCAAGTGACAGCACAGACTTCAAGTGAGTCAAATAACACTTTACTAGGAAAACTATGGAGTAGTCTAATATCTGAGGGGGTTCTGTTATTTCTTTTACTCCTTTGCCTTTAACACTTTATTGTGGCTTTCATTGGTTTTACATGTTGATTCTTCATTTATAATCAAACTCTTCAGCTCAAGTCATATTGCTCTGTTTTTGTGTTGCTATCCTGTCCATCTGGAAGGCACAGTATAAATGTATGCAAAGAGAAAACTGCCCTGCCAGCTTGTAATCAATTGTCTTTGCTAGTAGGTCAAATAAAATTTTTATTAGTGGAACATGCTTATTAAAGCCAAACAGTTTGACACTTCTAGGATTAGAGTGAACCCTGATTTTAGTTTCACCTGGTAGCCTATTAATATGAAAAGTATTATTTGACAAATCATTGATAAGCAGCAATTCATTAAATCATTAAAAATTAATCTGACTTATGTAGTCATATTTTTAGAAGTTGGGATCAGGACACTGTGTACTACCAATTGTCAATATTTTGCTGCTAATTGGAAGGGGTTGTTCCAAGGGTGGGTTTGCTTGCCAAATGCAAACATGCTACTTCTGCCCTTTGATTGCTCTTGGTTTTTCACTGGGAATGTGTAATTTCTACTGCTGCACATGCTAAATGCTACAGTTAAAGTATGGGCTGGATTCTTCCAGCCAAGATGCAAACTTGGTGACTGTTTAAACTGATGAGGCACCATAACTGGT